AAATTCAAAAGCCTAATTTTTCTCATTGCTAAGGTTCTGCTATCCTAAAATACCTTCTTCTTAGGAGTATCTGTGGTGTAGTGTGAAGATTTCTGGTCTGAATACATGAGAAGACATTAAATCTTCCATTTGGCTGATACCACCAGGTTATGCAGGCTCCATTTGAATAAATCTGACTAGTAGCCTGTTTAGTAAGTAGCCCCAAGCTCCCAGTGGACTGTTTTTTCACAATAATCTCTAGTTTAGTTGTGGAATTTTGTTTTCTTAACAGACCTATGCTACAAAAAGAAAAAATTTTGCAAAGTCATGCCTTTCTGAGAGATAAAGGTCATGTTTTGATATATTGCAATAGAGGCTCCAGCTAGAAGTCAGGGCAAAAATTTACACAGTCTTGTTTTTCACAGACTTTAAATAACATAGATGATGGTATCCAGGTAAGTGCACACAGAGAAGAGTGGACAAATTTTCCAATATGATCAGAAAGCCTCCATGATTTGAAGCCCATTGAGATAGAGATTTGATCTCCTTCAATCCTCTCCTCTGTCTTCCACTTTCTCCCTTAACTGCTTCTCACATGTCTGGGGATAAGGGATACCCTGTGAAAGCTGTTTAAACCACACCAAGAATTCATCCAGAAACTGAAGCCTGAGTTTGTCAGTGTACAAAATATAATTGGGCTAAAAGCAGACCAGGGCATTAATGGGAAGAAGATGGCTGGCAGCTTATTAATCCCCATATTGTGGCTGTAAATTCCTTGTTCAGTGTTCTCCAGACTCCCAGAAGTAAGGATATGTGAGAACAAAGTACGATTGTGTGCCTTCTCTCTCCTTCTACTCCTACCCAGAATCTGCTAGTGGCTGTTCTCAGAAAAAAAATATTGTTTTGGAAAGTCCTAGTGATGCAACCTGGTATGTGTAAGATTTTTGGCAGTCCTAAGCAGAGGGCTAAGGATTGCAAGCAGCATTGAAAGTAAACAGTCTTTTCTCCCTCAGAAACAGTCTCTGTCTTTAAGGTTTGTAGGAAAAATGTTGGGTTTTCTTTGCTGTATTATTCCTCTTTTGAAGTCAGTATCCTTCCAGTACCAGCTCAGCCTCTCTACTAGACACAGATGGAATTTTTCTTTGATTCAGTACCCACTGCATGACACAAAGGACTGCAGCTAATCTAAGGCAGATAGAAAAAAACCATCAATTTAAGATTCCTGTATTTTAGGACTTGGGATTTAAGACACTCATATAGACATATGGATTGAGACTTACTTGTAAAGAGAATAATTTGGTCTAAACCTGTTTGGAAAGAAAGATTTATATTTATATTTTTCATCTAATATAAACATAAATCTCAATGATCTATTAAACTATATACCTGAATATTTCTAAAGCTTTCTGAGACAGAACCTTCTACAGACTGTAAAATTCTATTACTATAACTGGGTTGAATCACTTGGTTTTAGACTCTTTTCCTTTCTTCTTTCTAATTGCATAGCATCATCTCCTGAAATGGTATTTTAAACAAAAGTCAGACTTCAAAGCAATGTGGGCTTTTCCCCAACACCTACACTAATATCTAAAAATACTCTTAAAATTATTCAAGAAGGAAGCTTTTTAGGGTGAAATTCCTCAGATGCATTGTGTTTTGCTTTTCCAGGACTGAGTCAGTTTTTTATTCACTGTAATACATTTGATTTGTGAATATTTCATTTCTACATTTGCGGAGCAAAGCAAAAAGATGCCTGCTTGTGATTTGATAATATAATGCCTTTAATCCTATGCTTGGGGGAGGGAGTATGTTTGAGAGCTGGAAGGCATACCCTATTCAATCCATGAAAAGTCAAAAAATATAATAGTTAAGTTCCTGCTAATTAAGTAAGTCGTGACTGACCAAGAACCATCCATGGTTATCTGTGATGGTACCATGAAAAATGCATTGTAATTAGGTAGTACAGCTTGAATATGAATTAGCATTATTCAACAGATGCATGCCTCTTTGTTGATTCCAAGCATCAGTTTTTCATTGAAATGGAAAATCAAGCAATAACAACAACAACAACAAAAACAAAGAAAAAAAATTTACAAAGTGCTCCAACATTTCATTATTAAAGAAATAAATATTTTTATTTTATTTATTATTCACTATTCAAATCTTCTTTTAAGGAAGACCAATATGCTATTTCAGAGAAAATAATAAATTTTAGGAAAGAATGTTCAAAGTGAAAAAAGGTTTTTCCTTCAAAGCTGCCTGTCTTTTTTGTCTCTTCCATACGGGAGAAAATGAAAAAAGGAAAATATCTGAATGCATATGAAATAAATTAATCTTCATCCCACATCCCTCCTGAAACTATAAGCTCTGTCATGATGCTACAGACAACTTGACAAGAATTACTTGCCTTGTATGCAAGGACTAGTGCTTGCAATAATGATGAAGAGCATTTCATAGGTACAATATGCTTGTCTAGTCTATCTAAATGCCTTTGGTTACTCTTATATTCCCTGTCCCTGTAAAGTTGTGTTCATATTGGTAGCTTTGCAAATACCCATTTGTTCAAATGTTCACTTCAGTTACAGAAATAATTCCTATCTCAGAATTCTTTTTTCCTAACTTCCTGGTTGAGATGTGCATGTTGGCAATAGTGATGTATGTATGATGCACAGTTGTGTGTCTGTATTCACAGTGGGGATGATCCTGCAGAGGTGAGCAGAGAATGCAGGAGATTCAACATCCACACTAGCACACTCTTAAAGATGCACTTCTCCCCTGCTGAATGAGTGTCCATGAATGGGCAATGAAGCACACTGAGGACACCCCAGTTAGTTTCATCCCAAATGAGCACAGCCTGTGCTCTGAGATTGGCCTGCACTGAAAAGCAAAATGATATAATAGGTAATGCTCAGGAGAGTCTCTTCAAAAGCACGCTCCTAAAATACCAGCTCCACTGGTATTTTAGCTCCTGTTCCCAGCTAAAATACCAGTGGAGCTGGGATTTTCAAACTGAGGTAGAGGATTAGTCACCCCAAGGGTTGTACTCAGACACCTGGAAGAAAGTATTTCTCAACAGTGATGGACTGCTGCTTCATTCAATCATTCATTTGCTGAGCTGGAACTATATTTTGAATTCTACAGAAGAATCCAAGGTTTTGGTTGAAATGCTTTTAGGTCTTAATACACCACTCAAGTGTAAGACCCAGGGAAGTTTCATTAAACACAATCTCTTCTGCCTCAGCTTCCAGCCATATCCTGCCATGTGTAATAGGAAAGCTAACTATCCTACCCTGCAGTAGAGGCTTGAAATCCCGGAGATAATGTGGCACAAAGCTGCAATAAATATGTTTTCTGCACACTGTTCCAGTCCAGGCATGGCACTGGGAGAGGGCTTGCATTTTTCTTACTTTATCACTTTGTATAGGGCCAGGTGGGTTATGTACTCTGCCTGCTGGCTTTCACTGGGAGTTAGAACTCCATCTCTCTGTTGTTCCTTGAGTTGAAAAGCTCATTTCCATTTCATAACTAGAGCTCTCTAGCCTCCTGCTGACTCAGCCATTCCTCCTGCAGTACAGAATGTCATGTGGACACAGTCATTTTCATATATCCTTGTTCAGACTTCATTATAATTTATTATTAGCTGTGTTAAGTCTCTCATACATAAGTCTTGAGCAGCTTACCTATCAGTATGGTGACTGAGTGAGCAGCTGAGAAAGTGTGTCAGTAATTTCTTTCTCTCATCTTCTTATTATCAAATATTACAATTATTGCAATTCATTCTTGGCACCCACATTTTTTTCATTAGCAACATACTGTTCACACCTCTTTCCTTGCTACCTACTGTAATCAGAGAAATGAGGAGCTAATCACTTATCTGTGCAGTGTAGTATGAATGAGTAAAGTGATCACAGTTTGGGAACTGCTGTTACACACACATGGAAGTGATGCACAACACAGTTATAGTGATAGAAATAAGATATTCCTGGACAAAAATAATTTGTAGTTGCTCTGAATAAACTATATTTATTGTGTTGTCTATTGTGTTCCAACTGTGACATAAACTTACTTTTTGTTAAGTAGTTTATTTTTTCAACCCTAACTCTGATATAAGTTGCATAATTTTAAACACATGTTTGATTTTAAAAAGATTTTTAGACTTAGATTCCTTATAATATTATGGACTTTTGTGCATGTTTTTTTATTTGAGTTCTGCAGTCATAAAATTTGAACTGAAAAACGATATTAACTTCAGTAGAATTTAGGGGTGTGTCTATTATTTTGAACATTATTTTGAGGCTGGCAGGTGTTCAGAATGTGTTCTTCATTTTGGCTCTATAGAACACCTGCACATAAGCCATGAAAGACAGTCTAAAGGGCCTTTGTGTTTTAGCAAGGTTATCTCAGCAAGTTTGGAGCAAAGAGCTTCAGGGTCTTCCAGGTGCTCTGCCTTTCAGATGATGTGTTTCAGTTCTTTCACCTCTATAGTGCACCTGCTGGCAGAGCCTCTCCTGGTTCTGTGGGTTGCAGCCTTAAGGTGTTGGAAACCAGGTCCTGGAAAAAACTTCTTGCCTCCTGGCATTGCTCATTACACGCTTCAAGACAGCTTCACTTTTCTTCAGGACATGGTGTATTTTGTATCTCTTAACAAATAGACAGTGAAAAGGTAAAACATCTATATCAATAAAAGACTGTCGCCTGGGTCCTATTTTTATTTTAGTCTCTCCTTGCAAGTTCTGGCTAGTTCCAAAATTTCCTCTGCTGTAGAGATTCTTACCCCGAGTTATGTAACATTTTTCATCTTCCTCTCTGATTAGTGATCACTTAGCCCTGAATAAAACAACTCTAAATGGTAGCTTTAAGATGAATTACAAACACTTAAATAAGCCTGAAATACTAAGCCTGACATAAAAAAATATATCTGAAACCAGAGAAACAGTTATTTTTGGGGTGGTTAAGCAGAGATTTTTACATCAACGTCCTTTTTCTATTTATTCCTTAATTTTCTGTTTGGCTTTCAGCAGATCTGAATAACAATAAGATGCCTCTACCTACATCTTCCATCACAGCCGGCCATCCACTCTCTTGAAAGGTAGGCTCTATGTTAATAATTGTTTTTGTTGTTACATCCCAAATGATCTCTTTGGTAGAAATACTGAATATGCTACAGAGCTTCACCTAAAGAAATCTAAGCACACTTGGAGGCTGTCCACAAAAAGGATGAAGATTCTAAGTACAATATAATAACTTAGCCACTTGTGTCACTTGTAATTAATTTTTCTGTACCATTTTATGTGTGAATAATAAGACTGCAGATAGGATCTGTTTTCAAAAAGTAACCTGGAAAGCACACATACAACTTAGTTTCAGGTAGTTCTGCAGAGGAACCTCCTCTGGATCCTGAATTAAAATATTGCTATGGAAAGTGTGGCAGATGCAGTTGGATAGGCCCTGGGGACATGAACACCCAGTGCTTATCATAACAGCACGTGGTCTGGGCATCTCACTAAGGTCCTTTTGAAAGACTGAACTGTGGAGTTAGACTGGGGAGAGCTTCACTCAATGCTATAATTCACTTTCCTGACCAATGGTCCAGTGTGGCAGCAGGATCAGAGTCCCAGTCACGAGCCATGCCATGGCATCCCATTGTGCTTAGTCTTGGAGAGGTATACAGGAAGAAGATGATGGCTTTTCCTCAGTTCTTGACTTGCTTGGCAGTAGATGTATTTCTTGCTTTGCTTCTCTCAGGAAAACACTGCGTCATGTATTATGGAAACATCAAGGATACTGTCTTGCCTGTGCTGTTTAATAAATGACATAGTGCTTCTTGGTAGAATATAGATGTCAACATGACTATTGAAAATGTCCAAGGGTGTCACGAGTCCTTGCATGCAGGGGAGAGATGGCATACTATTAATGATCCTTTCTTCCTCAAGCAAATTCCAGTCATGTTATATAAAGCTGGGACAGAAATAAAAATAGCCCCTCTTTAGAAGCAGCCTTGTCTGCCATACCTATGGCATACTAGACTTATTTAAATGTCATTGTGAATTCTTGGGGAAAACTGAAGCCAGAGATGCAGGTATTATTTCTGCTGTAGTGTGGCAAGGACTTTGCTGCTGTGAATAATAACAGCCATGTTGATGGGTAGGTCTAAATTAAAAGTGAAAGAGGTTATTCATTCATTGCAAAAAGCCATCTTAATGTGAAGATGAAGGTGTTTGTGGAGTTTTTCCATTTTATTTTTGCTTTTAGGCCTATGTTCTATTCAGGGCCGTGTTAAAGTTGGAAAATTGTTAATGTTATGGCAGATCAGCAAATTTTAAATGATTTGAGTTCCTTTTTTACTTCTCCTCTACTAGGCAATTACAAACTCAGTGGGGGATTTTCCTTGGTGCAAAGTGCCATATCTGATGTCTAAAAGAACGTGGTGACCCTATTCTTCATTTTTTTTGCATATATTGGTCAACATTAATCAAAATGCTTCCTAGCTGTAACACCTGAGGTCCTTACCTGCTTGGAATTAGGAAATATCCTTGGTATTTGAGAATGTTAATCAGTGACAAGCATCAGCCGATACAGGGACTTAGGGGAGTATGAACAGCGTATTTGAATGGGCAGGGACTGGTGGTGAATGTAGGTCAGTGGGACAAAGTGCTTGAGCTGTTCTGAGTGCTTTGGATGTTTCGTGGCTTCAGGGACTCTGTGGTACCAGTGTACTCCTTGTGGCCCACATATGTTTTACTGATGGAAACTGGAATTCAACCCTGCCCATAACCACAGGAATGGCCGTGCTTAAAAAATGTTTCTCAGTTTGCTACTGTCAGAAGATGTAACAGTCACTGAGCCACTATCAAAATGTAGTTGGATGACTGACTGCAGGTGTAAAGAGGGAAGGTGTAAGTAAGAAGAAAAGAATTTACTTCCATCTTGAATTATGTATAAAGTAATTTAATGAAGCCAAGTTGCAGAATTGGCTGATTTGTGTGCTGGCTGATATAAATCCAGGCACAAATAATGGAGAATGGATACTGAAATATCCTTGAAATTAGGCTCTATAAAAAGGCCTTTTTATTTACTTCTTTTTCTCCTTTGGAAAAAAAGTAATTTTTTTCTCTACTGTATTTAAATGCAAAAATGTGTGTTCAGTGGTCCTGATACATTTACTTTGCTTTCATTGATGTCAGTTCCTGAGGAGGGGAATATGAATTTTGAACCTATTTTGAACTTTGTCTGTTGGTAATTTACTCAAGAAGGTGAACTGTTAAAAAGCTTTCATCTTCCATTATTATGGACCCTTGAAGCCAGAAGTCTTCACAGCAGCATGATGAGAATGTCAGAAGGAATCTGTCCTTTAGTCCTTTCCCTGGATAAATAGCTGTGGTGCATAGGAAAATGCAATCTGAAGAATGGCTAAGGAAATGAAAAAGCAAACAAGCAGGAGCTTTAGTTTTGAGGAGGAATGGTGTTTGGAACACTTAAGGATCTGCAACAGGAAAAATAAATAAGGCTAATAAGTGGCAAGATTATGCATCAGCATTCAATTGAAAACAAAGTTGAAGTTCAATAAATGTAATCCTAATATGTCAATAAGAACAAATACTTGGGACTTAGTTGTAGCTGGGTTCAATAGTAGAATTTCAGCTTTGAACTAGAAGGTCAATTATCAATACCAAGCACATGTAAATAAAGTATTTTTTTCTTAGGAAAAATTACCAGTGCCTTATTGCTGTGAGGTACATTATTTAGTCTTCCCACCTGAAGACCAGGCCAGAGTAGCTAGAACCAGGCCAATATTTCTAATGGGCAGAAACATTTATTGTCACTCGTGGAGTTTTATCTTCACATTTTTATTCTTACAGAGAAAAGTAAGTGAAACACAATTTCCCCATATGAGGCGGTGTTTCTGATGGAGTAAAGTGAGGAAACAGTGCAGGAAGCTTCAAGTGACTGTGAGACAAGTAAAACATTTAACATTGTCTGCAAATTTAGGTTAAAAGATTGGTGCATAGTGATGTGGACAGGTTGGGACAGAATGGAGTGCATGCTGTGTTGAAAGTAAAAAATGCAGTGACAACACTGCCAGCTTATGTTAACTAGATACAACATATATTACTGGATGTGTTTTGTCCTTCCTTTCCTTCATCCCAGCCCTGTGTCTGTTAGAAGCCTCTGGTGCCTGAAAGCCTTTGGTCTATGTGCAGAATCCCAGAAGGAAGAAGTATTTTTAAAGCTCTCCAGTAGGAAAAAGTTTCAGGTCTGTGATGGAAATGCAGGGTGATGTAATACCTGGTGAGTTCAGACCTAGTTCAACACCTTCCATCCTGGGAAACACAAGGACAGTGGCATTTCCCCTGAGTGTGTCAGAAGGGCCCTGTAAGCAAGACAGCAGCAGCAGGAATGTGCTATGGGATGCAATTGCAAACGAAAAGAAAATCTCCTTGTAATTCTGCCATGTGCTGTCATTTTGCATGTGTTAGGAATGTCTCTTTCTGTTCTACATCTTTCCCCTCTCTTTTGCACACAAGCCCAGGATTAGCCAGCTGCCCTGACTGACAGGGTATTTCCTCTATTGAGTTACAGCCATGCTAACAGCAGGTCTGAGATCTGAGCACCAACCTTGGCAGCTGCTTGGGAATACGAACAGAAGAAAAGTTTGGGGATTCTTTCTCGGGTCAAATTAATTTCCAAGAAGTTGCTGTGAATCCATTTACACCTACCTTATAGATATGCATTTCACCATTTGTATTTTTGAAATATTGACAGTGACGTTTTGGCCAGGGAAGGATCTGTGAACATAGTTTGGCATTCCATGAATGTGTCATAACTATTATTCTGTTAGAGGCCTGTATTTAAGCCTGGTAATTGCACAGATGCTAAAGGCCACAATAGCTTAAACACTAAATTTCTGCCATAATTCTGAACTGACTGACTAGATAAATAATGTGGAACTGTTTCTACTCCAGAATTAGATGTCTTCCAGGCCTACAGACAGTTTTGTCAAACAGTGCATCAACATTTCTTCCATAAAGAGTCATAAAAGTGATGGCAGTGATATGGAAAATAATTTTTTCTTTTCATAGCCATTCCTGTAATTAAATATTGTTTTTAAAATTAAACTCAGAGTTGTTGTGGAATTTTAACTTACAGCCAACCAGTTACAATAACTTAAAAAAGGCTGGAAAGGATAAAAAAATATTTATAGCTTCCCCTTTAAGTGACTGCATAGAAATCTGTGTTTCTAGAGGTAAAGCTGTTTATTTCTGTGGTGTGTGAGCTTTAGCTGACATATGTGGGACAGGCATGTGAATGCTTGCGCAGCCATTGGTTGTGACACCATTGCAGAGACAAAATAATCCAGTGACAGCTAGGTATCTGGAAACAAGAGTCTCAAAGATGAGGCTTTGATACCAGTGACAGAAGGATGTCAATGGATTCTAAGTAGTCCCACAAGACTTGTCAGATGTGCCACATTAAAATTAAAATTTAGTGAATGAGGATAAAACTTTAATGTAGCTTCAATGGCCTGACCTAGATAAAGTTGTTAATTTTTGATTTATAACTGGGTAGAGAATTTTAATCTGCATGAAAATGAGAAATTTTTCCATTTGTGTGAAAATAAGCATCTCCTTTAAACACTGATGATCCTAACTCTCATAACGTAAGAGTGGCACCCAATTTATTACACCTCAACACCGAGCTCAAAATTTGACATATCCTCTGGACTTTCCCATTCTAAACTGGGTTGTTTGCTCTCTCTCTTTCTCTGCACAAAACTGATTGTGGATAGATGTTCTTCAGGATGCCTAACAACTACTGTGATTCTTGGTCTTAAATGGGGTTCTTGCTTGCTTATATGAACACTCAAGTTTCCCTCAAGTGGTTGCCTCTCTTCTGCTGTTGTCTTCTCCAATATCACCTTGCTAGGAGCTCCCACCCATTACCTGCAGATATCCCATGACCTAATTAAAGGCCTGCCAATTACACACAAAGCATGCCAGGTTTTGCAAAATCCCACAAGCCTCCGCCGAATGGGATGGATTCTGTTTAAGCAGTGTCCTCCTCTAGATGAGAGGGAGGCTCTCGTGGTTT